TTGGTGTAAGTGGGGGCTCTGGTGGCGGTGGTGGAGGCAGCGGTGGGAGTGGCGGCAGTGGAGGCGGTGGGACTGGTGGCAGTGGGACTGGAGCTCGGCGTGTCGGTTCAGGGGGTGGCCAGCGTCAGCAGCAGCAGCGTCGGGGCGAGACCCCGTCTCCCCAGCAGCTTCATTAGTGGTTTCTGAGTGGGGCGTCTTGGGGTAGTTGCGCGTATGTCATTCGCACGGGTGACCGTGCTGGTCAGACTTGCGGGAGGCTCCACACTCAGCACCGCTGCTTCTCCCGCCTCGACGACGCTTGGCGTGCTGAGTTTGGTGACAACGTCGAGCTCCCTCGCTAGGCAGATCTACTTAAGTCTAGGATTGCTATCTTTGACCTAGACTTTGATGCTATTCTTTCTGCTATGTATTCTTTGTCTGTTAGTGCTGAGGGTGACTGTTACCGGTGTGTGCCGCCTGACCTAGGTATAGACGCTGCTGCTCTAGGTGCTAGTGAGTCTCGTACTCTCCCTGGTACTGTGCCTGCTCAGGCCTTGCACACCTTCACGTTGGACTCAGGCGCCTAGCGCTGTTTCTTTCGTGACAGCACCACCCTCACTCCACTTCCTGCACCTGTCCCAGTCAGACTGGCTGACCCCTCTGGGGGACCGGTCGTGGCCCGTTCCTCCACGGTCCTCCCGTGTCCGGCGGTTCCGTCCGGCTCACTGTCAGGTCTTCACCTCCCCTCGTTCTCTACGAACTTGGTGAGTACCGCTGCCCTCCAGAATGCGATGGTCACTACCACCACTCCTGGGGGTCAGCGTGTGTCGATCTGCACGTACACACGGACGGGCCGTCACCTGGCCATGTTCACTCGTCGGCCAGGGTCGAGTCTGTACACACACGCTACCGAGCCTTCTCAGGTAGCTGCGTCTGCTCAGGTGTCCGCGTCAGGTGAGGTAGCCGCCTCTTGCTCATGTCGCCTCCTGTCGCACCAGACTCTTCTATGGCACCACCGCCTGGGTCACCCCTCCCTACCTCACCTTCGTGGCATGCACTCTCGTCTTCTTGTCTCTGGTCTCCCCAGGTCTCTGCCTCCCCTGCCGCCCTCGCCTGCCCCGCCCTGCCTCCCTTGCGTCGAGGGGCGGCAGCGCGCCGCTCCTCACTCCTCCTCGTTTCCCCCGACGACTGCTCCCCTGCAGACTCTCCACATGGACATGTGGGGCCCAGCCCGTGTCAGTGGACAGAGCCGCGAGCACTACTTTCTGCTGGTAGTTGACGACTACACGCGGTACACCACGGTCTTCCCCTTGCGCAGCAAGGGTCAGATCATTGATGTCTTGATCCCTTGGATCCGCACAGTCCGTCTCCAGCTGCGCGAGCAGTTTGGCCAGGACCTTCCTGTCCTGCGCCTGCACTCTGACAGAGGTGCTGAGTTCTCCTCCACCCTCTTGCGGGAATTTTGTCATGGGGAGGACATTCTCCAGTCTTTCACGCTTTTGGACTCCCCTCAGCAAAATGGGATTGCTGAGCGCCGCATTGGCTTCGTCATGGAGGTCGCTTGTACCTCCATGATCCATGCGGCTGCTCCCCATCTTCTGTGGCCGTTTGCGGTCCAGTACGCTGCGCATCAGCTCAACCTCCAGCCCCGTGTCTCCTTGCCGGAGACCTCGCCCACACTGCGTTGGACGGGGGAGGTTGGCGATGCGTCGGTGTTCCGGGTCTGGGGATCTCGTGCCTTTGTTCGCGATACGTCAGCGGACAAGCTCTCCCCCCATGCTATCCTCTGCGTCTTCCTTGGCTTTGCCCCCGACGTGCCTGGCTGGCAGTTTTACCACCCCACCTCGCGCCGTGTCTTCCCTTCTCAGGACGTCACGTTTGACGAGTCGGTTCCCTTCTACCGTCTCTTCCCCTACCGCTCTGCCCCTCCCTCGCTCTCGCTGCTCTTCCTTGCTACCGGTCCCCCTCCGGTAGATCCCCTCCCGCCCGAGGGTCCTGCTCCCTCAGGTGTGTCTCAGGTAGACCCTCTCCCTGGTCCTGCGCCTGTTCAGGTAGCTGTCGACTCAGGTGCTGCTCGAGGTGCTGCGTCTGGGGGTGCTGAGTCTGGGGGTGCGGAGTCTGGGGGTGCGGAGTCTGAGGGTGCTGAGACTAAGGGTGCTGAGCCTGGGGGTGTTGAGACTGGAGGTGCTGAGCCTGGGGGTGTTGCGCCTGGGGGTGGTGAGCCTAGGGGTGCTGAGCCTGAGGGTGTTGAGCCTGGGGGTGCTGCGTTGGAGGGTGCGGAGTCTGGAGGTGCGAAGCCTTAGGGTGCTGCTTCTTCTTTAGGTTCTGCTGGTGCTTCGCCGAGCCTGTCTCCGCAGCAGTTGCGTGAGTGGTTTGTCCGGCGTACGCGCCTTCGGAGTGGAGCTTCTGGAGCTGGAGGTGCTGGCCCTGGTGGAGCTGGAGGTCCTGGAGTTGCTGCTGGAGCTGGTGTTACTGGAGGTACTGCAAACGCTGGTCCTGGAGGGCCTCGTACGCGGGGTACTGGAGCTGCCGGGACTAGTGTTGTTGAGGGTACTGGAGCTGGAGACCTTACGGGATCTTGTACTACTGGCGCTGGTGGCGCTGGAGCTGGAGGAGCTGGAGTTGATGGCCCTTGCGCAGGAGGCGCTGGAGTTGGAGGCCCTGGTGTTGGAGGTGCTGGAGCTGGAGGAGCTGGAGCTATTGACCCTGGTGGCGCTGTGCGGCCGCGACCATACTTCGTTCCCCTGCTCCAGCGGGTTCTTGGTACCCCGCCTTCTGCTGCCCTTACTCCTCCCCTCCTGTGTCCCCCGCCTGACCAGTCACAGCCGCCGTTACTGCCGGCCTCTCCATTGCCTGCTCCTTCTCCTTAGACTGAGCAGTCAGGCGGTCTTACAGAGTGTCGTGAGCTTGCGTCTCGTCCTGTCTCGCCTGTTCGCACTGCTCGTCGCGTTCCTCGTTCGCATCCTCCTCCTGTCCCTGACAAGCACACTATAACACTTCGTCCTTCCTCGGTTCCTCTCCGTGTTCCTCTGCCAGCTCCTCCTGAGTCCTCTCTTCCTGAGGTCCCTGACCCTGAGTGTGACCGCGCTCGTGCTACCAGTCCCACTATCTCTCATCTCCTAGCCACTGCTGTCACTGACCCTTCTTTTGATTTTGCTGTTGCGTCTGCTCTCGTTGCTGAGCTGCTTGACTTTGCTGCTGCCTGTCGTCTAGACTACGCCACTTCTCTTTTTGCTGAGTCTGCGTCTGCCAGTCCTCCGTCCGTCGGGGGTGAGTGTGCTCTTGGAACGAACGTCCTTGAGGACAAGCAGGAGGACTTTGAGTCTCTTGCAACTGCTGTACATCGTTTCGCTTCCATGCTGCTTGCCCCTGAGGGAGACCCGGATGCTCCAGATAGCCCGACCCCGCGCTCTTACGCAGAGGCGATTACGAGTCCTTACTCCTCTCAGTGGCAGGCAGCTATGGATGCCGAGATGGCATCCTGGAAGTCCACAGGCACCTACGTCGACGAGGTTCCCCCACCTTGGTCGAACATAATCGATGGCATGTGGATCTTCAGGGTAAAGCAGCCACCAGGATCTCCGCCTGCCTTCAAGGCACGTTATGTTGCTAGAGGCTTCAGTCACTGCTGACACTGAGGCACTGACCCTTGTGAAGTCCGAGCTGCAGAAGAGACACACCTGCACTGACCCGGGTGAACTGCGCAGCTATCTTGGCCTGCAGATCACCCGGGACAGAGCATGGCGCACCATCACACTTACTGAGTCACACATGGTGCACCAGGTCCTTCAGCGCTTTGGCTTCCAGTTGTCCTCGCCACAGCCCACTCCTGTGTCTACTAGCCACTCGCTCTCAGCTCCACCTTCGGACGAGTCCGTAGAGCCGAGTGGTCTGTACCTAGAGCTTGTGGGTTACCTCATGTACCTGATGACCTGCACTCGACCCGACCTCGCGTACCCTCTCAGCCTCCTGGCTCGCTACGTGGCTCCCGGCAGGCACCAAAAGGTGCACTGGGATGCTGCGAAGAGGGTACAGCGTTACTTGTGCAGTACGTCGGGCATGGGGCTCGTGCTTGGAGGACGGGGTCCAGTTGTCCTCACCGGTCACGCAGACGTTTCCTGGGTTGACGACTCTGCTACGCAGCGGTCGTCACAGGGTTACACCTTCAGCCTTGGCTCTGGCTCTGTCTCCTGGCGGTCTACCCACTCGTCTTCGGTTCTCAGCTCCAGTTGTGAGGCTGAGATCTACGCTGGGGCCATGGCTGCACAGGAGCTACGCTGGCTGACCTACCTGCTGACTGACTTGGGAGAGCAGCCTCGTTCGCCTCCAGTTCTGTATGTAGACAACAAGGCCATGATTGCCTTGTGTCAGGAGCACAGACTGGAGCACAGAACGAAGCACATCGCTCTGCGATACTTCCTTGCTCGAGAGTTGCAGCAGCATGGCCAGCTTCGTCTTATGTACGTGGCCACTCAGGCCAACACTGCTGATGTCTTCACCCAGGCACTTCCGCCTGGTGATCATCAGCGTTTTATTACTGTGTTAGGCCTTGTGCCTACTTTACCTCACTTGCTTACTTCGTGAGTTTGCTTGTACTGTGATCTATATATATACCTGCATGCTTGCACTTGCTAGGGTATGATCACTGTATTATTTGTTTCTCTTTTATATATAACACTGCATGTGAACTGGCCTTGTGGCCCTTTGCTTGTGCTCGGACTGTGTGGTGACTTTGTGATCCACCCTGAGCTTGCTTTGCTTTTCTTGACTGGTCTTGTGACCACTTGTTCTCCCCCAATTTACCTATGGGGGTGTGTCAGAACATGATAGCTTATACATTTGTGTAGGCTGTAGTTGGGTAGCCCATAAGGGGTAGAACCCAATTAGGATTAGCACTTGTACCCAACTGTTTGCTAGTTCATTCATTCTCGTTCGTTACTTTGACACGAGGGGCCTGGAACGATGGGGCCGCGGGGCCTAGGTGCGACGGGGCCTGGAACGACGGGGCCGCGGGTCCAGAAATGAAGGGGCCGCGGGGCCTAGGTGCGACGGGGCCGGGAACGAAAGGGGCCGCGGGGCCAGAAACCAAAGGGGCCGCGGGGCCTAGGTGCGACGGGGCCGCGGGGCCAGAAACGAAGGGGCCGCGGGGCTTAGGTGCGACGGGGCCGGGAACGAAAGGAGCCGCGGGGCCAGAAACGAAAGGGGCCGCGGGGCCTTGGTGCGACGGGGCCGGGAACGACGGGGCCGTGGGGCCAGAAACGAAAGGCCGCGGGGCGACGGGGCCGTCGGCGACGGGCCTAGGGGCGCGCGACTGGCAGCGTAAGGGGCAGTGGTAACCCTACGTTAGGGATCTAACTGCTCTTAATGCTATGTTAGAACCAAGAATGATGTGGACTAGGTCAAAGGGCGGATACAAGAAGAATGTCGAGAAGATTTGTGTACCCTCTATGGCTAAACCCATTACAGCCGAAGGAAACATACAAATGTAAGCATGTATGTTCTGACACTGAATGTATGGACCCACTGCTAACAAAGAACTCGTTATAGTGCATTTGTGATATTTTCAATGAAAATACTTGCGTGCGCTTATAATATATCACCAAAATTTTAACAAGGCACCTTTATCCGAGGACTGGATATAAGCGTATGCACCTATATCCGGGGGAACACTGTATGGCTGGTTTATAGCATTTGTTTTCCAATGTTTAGCATTGATGCGCTAAACTTCCACTCCCAATTGGGTTTTGGTATTTTCTGAGGCCTACAAGTGTTGTCAGCCGGAATATTGTATGTATGTATATATATCATGTACATTTTTTTCCTCTCAAAGAGAAATCTGAAGGTTGGTTGGGGACAAAAATGCCATTGGCCCGCGAACCCCCTCCTTGTCGAAATGTTGTGACGAGGGTCGCAAACCAGAGGCCTCTCGCCAGAGTTACCCTGCTTCACAATTCAGTTGCTCAAACAAGAAGATTGCGACCATGATCGCATGAAAGCGGGATGACACCATCCCTTGAAATTTGCTCAGCATGCTTAGCGCCGTGAAATTCGTTAGGGTTGACAGCGCTGGCGAGAGAAAGAAGGATAGCAGCGGGCATAAGGTGAATCCCAGGAAGGGATCGGACGACTCGAGCGACAGCGAGCGCGAGAAACGACGAAAGAAGCGGAAGCGGGAGAGAGGCGGGAAGAAAGGGAAGAGGAAAGGGCGGCGCGGGAGTGAGAGCGAGGCGGGGGAGAGCGATTCAAACAGCGAGGATGGGCGGGCGACGAGGAGAGCGAGGAAGCGGGAGGAGCGAAGGAAGAGGCGGGGCAAATGGATTGAGGACGTATCGGACGGCTCAGACGACTCGGAGGGGTCGGATGAGGAGGGCGACGAGATACGAGCTGGTGTGACGGCAGGTGAGCGGCGAGTGGTGGTGAGGTGAAGCATAACGACGGTCGTGAGACAGGCACGGCATGAGACAGGCACGGCGTGCCACGGATGCGAGTGACGAGCACTGCCAATTGATACTTCGTGTACTGGCCCTCTCGCGGCTCCCCTCACCGCTCCCCTGGTTGCCCCCTGTGCCGCGCTCCTCCTCCACCTAGTGCACTGCACCCTGCTCTCCCTCAACGCATCCACTCCATTCCTGTCCTCCCCTCCCGTGCTTCTATCCCCATCCCCAGGGGCACGCCCAGGTGCAGGCTCGGGTGCAGGCTTTGATGGAGGCTTGGGTGCGCGGTCAGAGGGAGCAGGGCAGGGCGGGCAGCAGGCGCGCGAGGCAGCGGGGCTGGAGTGGATGATGCGCGCACCAGAGCGACCGCTGGGGGAAACGAGGGCGGTGGAGGAGGAGGAGGAGAAGGGGAAGGGAGAGGCGTTTCATAAGGGTGGGTGCGTCACAGCAGAGCATCACCGTCGCCTCTGCACTTGGTCACTGCCATCTCCGTTTCCTCCCTTTGCCTCCTATTGCTTTCAGTGTTGCTCTGCCCCTTTCAGTTTTGCTCTGCCCCTTTCAGTGTTGCGCTCATTCCTCTCTGGTATGCCCCTCTCGTTGTCTGCGTTTTCTAGCACGTATGTCCCCCACCCCACCTTGCGCATTGAATGCCCATGCCCCGTGCCCTGTCCCCCCTGCCCCCTGCGCAACATGCGCAGGTGGTGCTGGGAAGCAGTGCACGAGAGCTCAACCCGTACTTCAAGTCCGGGGACGGCTTCCCTGACTCCGCTGCCGCCCACCCTGCTGCTGACCCTGCCGCCCAACGGCCGGGCTCTGCCCGCCCAGCACCGCCGCCTGGTGTGGGCGATGGCGGTGCCAGCTGGCGGCTGAAGGCTCTGCGGCGCGCCAAGGAGCAGGCGGAGCGAGAGGGGAAGCGGCTGAGTGAGGTGAGGGGAGAGAGGTGAAGTAAGGGAGGGAGGGAGGGGGGTGAAGGTGAGATGGGGGGGGATTTAACGACGCGGGTGGTTGCGTGGCGCTTGAAGTGGGAATGCGTGTTTCACTAGTGGGATGATGCCTGTCCGCCTGGCTCACTTGTGAGACATCGTGCTGAGGACCCTGCTTCCCATTCTCGCTTCATCCCTTTGAGCCACCACACCATAACCAGCGTCTCCCTCCTCCCCTCCCACCCTCCAACCCTCCCTCCCAGGTGGTGTCGGACCGGTGGGGCTCGCTCTCCTCCCTCACCGCCCGCCTCTCCTCCGCCCGCGCTGCCCCCGCCTTCGCCCACAAGCATGCTGCCCGCGACCGTGAGAGGGGCGCAGGGGAGGATAGAGGGGAAGAGGGGGAGGGGGCGCAGGATGGGAGGGAAAAGAGAGAAAGGGAGGGAAAATTGAGCAGGGGTGTTGAAGGGTCGAGGATTGAAGATAAGGAGGGGGATGGAGAGGGAAAGGGTTGGAGAGGCAAGGAGGGAGGCACAAGGGACAAGGGGATCGGAGGCAGGGGAAGGTGGGGGCAAGAGGGGAAGCGAGAGAGACAGGGAGAGGGGCGTGGCAGGAGGGGTGGGCGAGATGATGGTGGTGAGGAGGAGGAGGACGAGGAGGAGGAGAGGCGGATGAGGGGCGGCAGGAGGGGGTACCTGGAGGGCGTGTCAGGAGGGGCGAGGGCGGGCATGAGGGTGCCGCAGCAGGAGTCAGTGTCGTGGCGCCGGCGAGGAGAGGGAGGGGCGCCAGGTGGCAGGGGGGGAACTGGTGACAAGGTGAGGGATGGGGAAGGAGGCGAGGGCAAGGGGAGCGAGGAGAGGAAGCAGGCGTGGAAGGGGGTGGGGGCGTGGAGGCCTGGCATGGGCGTGGGCAGGCGGGGCGGGTGGGCTGATGGCGTGCTGGAGGAAGCAGCTCGCAGCGTCAATGCGTTCGCTGATGACGGCGGCTTCCTGGCGCAGCAGCTGGCTCATGGCCCTGTGGCGGGGCAAGGCGCGGGCGGAGCGGAATCGGAGAGGGGGGTTGGGGCCGCGGAGGAGGCGAGGGGTGCAGACGGTGGGAGGAGAGGAACAGCAGGGGAGAGAGGGCGGGATGCAACAAGCAGTGGTGGGGCTGGAGGGAGGGCAGAAGGAGCAGCAATAGGCGATGGCGAGAAGAGTGAGAGGAGGGAGGGCGGTGAGCAAAGGGCGAGTGAGGACGGTGTACAGAAGGGTGCGGGAGAGGAGGTGGGAAGGATTGGGGGAGGGGAGAGCATGGAGGGCGGCGCTGAGCGTGTTGGTGGGGCTGCTGTGGATGCGGGCGATGCAAGGGTGCAGGAGATACTGGCGGGCGGACTGACAGCCAATCAGATGGCGGCAAAGGCCATGCAGCTCAAGCTGATGGGCAAGGCAGAGGAAGCTGACTGCTGGCAGGTGGGCTGGGGGCAGGTGGGCTGGGCGCAGGTGGGATGGGCGCAGGTGCACGGGTGCATGGGTGCACGGGTGCATGGGTGCATGGGTGCATGGGTGCATGGGTGCATGGATGCATGCATGTGTAAATGTTTTTTGTGCTGCGTGTGGAGCTGCTTTCGTGAACTGACTGTGGTTGTTCTTGATCGACCTATTCTTTGACTAGCCATCACTCTCCGTGATCACCATCCTCATCACCATCACCATCACCATCACCATCACCATCACCATCCCCATCACCATCGCCATCCCCATCCCCATCACTATCACCATCCCCATCACCATCCCCATCCCCATCACCATCCCCATCACCATCCCCATCACCATCCCCATCACCATCCCCATCACCATCCCCATCACCATCCCCATCTCCATCACCCGTGCACCTCACAGCGTGCAGCAGCGGCCAAGTCCCAGCCCCCTCCTCCAGCACCACCGCCCGCACTGCTGGCTGTACCTGCCACATCCACATTGGAGCCACGGGCCCTTGGGGAGGGCAGGGGGGACGGAGAGGAAGAGGAGGAGGAGAGGGGGGGTCGGAGGGAGGTGGTGCAGCTGCCGCTGGTGGATGGCAGCGGGCGGTACCTGCCGGCTGTCATGGCGGCACGGGAGGGGAGGGGCGAGGTGCAGGCGGGGCGGCGGGAGAAGCGGGTGGAGCGATACGATGTTGAGGCGGGCACGGGGAAGCGGGCGAGGTGAGCAGGATCGGGGCAAGGTTAAGGGGGATGGGGTGAGGTGAGGGATGATGGCAATGAGGGATTGTTTAGTGGCTTCCCAGTGTAAGGTTGAGGTGAGAGGGGGGTGTCGAGGTGGCGAATGTTTGAGATGGTGTCCCTCCCGCTGTTGGCCTTGATTTTTCGCTGATATGCTGAGATGGTGTCCCTCCCGCTGTGGTGTGGTGGGCAGAGGGGATGGACATGGGATGGGAGAGCCAAGGGGAGGAACGGATGGCAAGCACGAGCAGCAGCCAATCTCGACCCCATCTGCCATTCCTTCTCTTCCTTCCGTCCCTCCTTCACTTGAATATGCCCCTCTCACCGGGAGCGCCCTCTGCCTGCCCCGCAGGTACTTCGCGGACGACGACGGCGCGTCGCTGCTGCAGCTGGTGGCGGCGGAGCGGGCGGGCGGCGCGGATGACCTGGGCGGCTGGGACCGGCACGTAGCAGCGGGCATCGGGCGGGCGGGGGGGCGGTACAAGGGGCCGGTGGAGGTGGATGATGAATACGACTGGGATGAGGGACTGCACGCAGGGGGGGGAGGAGGGGGGCGGAAAAAAGGCAGGTGAGCTGAGCTGCATGGGCGAATGGAAGTGTTTGGTTGGTGGCTGTGCTCCGTGTGCGTGGTGCTTGCCCCATGCTTCTCGGCTCATGCTACCCTCACCTTCCACTCAGCTTGGCTCTCCCTTGTGTCTATCTCTCACCGGCGCTGCCCACACCCCCCTAGCAGGCCGTCACAGCAGCAGAGGGAGAAGGCGGGGCAGGTGGGCGAGTTCAGGCGCCAGGTGGCGGTGCAGCAGCGCTGCCAGCAGTGCATCGACAGCCCCGCCCGCCCTCGCCACCTCGTGGTGTCCGTTGCCGCCCACAGCTACCTCATGCTGCCGCCCGGGGGCTCTCTGCTGCCCAATCATGTGCTCATCGTGCCGTCTGAGGTGAATCATGCCGTGCAGCGGCCCCTTACCGCGCTCCTCACACTCAAAAGCCTTGACACCCCACCGCAATGCCCATGCCCCATGCCGCACGAGTTCTTCACAACCTTTGGCCGTAGCAAGCATCGGTACCTGCAGCCCTCACACTCGCTTACCCCTCCACCCCTCACCCTCTTTCCCCCTGGTGCTGGCAGCACGAGGACAGCATGCGGGTGGTGGAGGAAGCGGTGTGGGATGAGGTGCGCAACTTCAAGAAGTGCCTCACACGCATGGCCATGGCCGTGGACGACGGCGCGGGGGTGATCTTCCTGGAGAGCGCCATGGGGGTGGGCGGGGCGGGGCGGCAGCGCAAGCACTGCTATGTGGAGGCCATCCCCGTGCCCGCTGCTGTCATGGCCCAGGCTCCGCTATACTTCAAGAAGGTGGGCCGAGTCACCATGGCACGTGCATTGACGTGTGCTTCCTCTCCTCTTCCACCTCCGACGCACCTCAAAGTGGTGGATGGATTGAGGCGGGAAGTTAGCAGACTGGGAAGCGTGTTAAGGGAAAAGGGGTTCCGTGGCGTGAGGTGTACTGAGATGGAAATGACCGCACACAGGCGCCCTGCGCGAGCGGCTGGACGGGTGTGGCTGCAGTGGCGGGCTTTCATGCGGGGCAATGGCAGGCCACACTGTGAGAAGCCCGTCTGAGAATGGAAGCTCAAGAGCTGACATGTGGCTGTCCTGCAGTTAGATGCCTACTGCCACACCGAGCCCTGTGAGCACAGCTCAACCTGCCCTCTCACGCACTAATGCGCCTTTTCTTCCCCTCCCTTCTCCTACTCCTCTCCCTACCCCTGCCCTTCCCCCTCCTCCTTTCCTTTCCCCCACCTGCTGGGTGCGGCAGGCATTGGACGAGGCGGAGAGCGAGTGGAGCCAGCAGCACAGCAAGCGCATCCTGGACACACGCGCCATCAGGGGCGGGCTGCGCGCTGCCATCCCGCCCAACTTCCCCTACTTCCACGTCGAGTTCGGCCTGCAGGTCAGCCCCCCTGCCCAGCTCGCCATGATGTGTGCATGCTGCTGCATCTGTATTTCTGAGTCCATGTTTGTGCATGGCGCTGGCGCATGGGGCATGGCCACTCGCGCATGACACGTGGAAAGTGGCAGATGATGCATTGCACATGGCACAGAGTGATACTCAACCCCCTTCTTGTGTAGCAGATGGCACATGGCACACAGCACATGGCACATGGCACACAGGCATGTGGTCGCATCAGGATCACGAGCAGGCGAGACCAACAGCCATGACCACTCGGCCTCATCGTTTGACACCCCTCTCAACCCACCTGCTCCACCTGCTGCTCATCCCACCCCTCTCCCTCCCCGGCAGGGCGGCTACTGCCACGTGATTGACGACGAGAGCTCCTTCAAGCCGTCCTTCGGCCGCGATGTGATCGCCGGCATGATGGAGATGGACCCTGAGAGGTTCGGTGGGCGCGCGCGCGCCAGAGGGGGGCGGGGAGGGGTGGGGTCACGCCCGCAGGAGGTGCAGCAGAGCGTTGCCAAGTTTATAGAGAGCTGGAAGCCGTTTGATTGGACCAAGATGCTCGATGGTTGACATGCTTGCTTGACAAGAAAATACGTGAAGCGTACAAATTATGTGGACATTTATGAGATAAATTCTGCGCGTTGCATCTTTTGTTAAGTATCAACCCGGATTTTTATGTGATTCAATGTCAAATGTTATTATAGGTTCTTAGGCTACAGTGAGTAGCACTCTAGGGAGTACAACACTTTTAGGGTTGCTATTTGTATCCCTTGCTTCCCTAGTTCATTCATTCCGTTGTGTTCCTACTTTGAGATGGTATCACGGGTAGGTTAGTTCCTCGTTATTTCCTAGCCCGTGCCCTCTCTAGCGCACCTCCGCGCCCTCCGCGCCCTATCGACCGTCGCGCCCTAGCGCCCTCTGCGCCCCTAGCCCGCGTTTTCGGCCCGCGCGCCTTAGTGCCCTCCGCGCCCCTAGCCCGCACCGTCGCGGACCTCCGCGCCTAGCGCCCTCCGCGCCCCGAGCCTGCGCCGTCGCGCGCCTCCACACCTAGCCGCCACTCCTCACCCTCCGCGCCTCCGCGACTAGCCCGCGCCTCCGCCTCGGCCCGCCTCGGTCCGCGCCATAGCCCGCACCCACGCCGTAGCCCGGACCTCCGCCTCCTTCTCGTGCTCGCGCCTAGCCCGCGCCCTTCGCCTCAGCCCTCCCCCGCACCTCCGCCTCGTGCTCGCGCTACGCCCGCGCCCTCCACCTCAGCTCGCGCTGTCAGTAGATCTGCACTGTGGATGCCCGATTTATCCTAGGGGGGGTTACAGGCGCGTTCGCCTAGGGGGTTATGGGCGCACAAACCCGCTACACAAACTCGCGCTGACCGAGCTCCTTCTACCGACTGGGGCCGCTCACTTCGACCTGGTAGAGACTGCGAAGGAGGTGTATGATGCTTTTTTGCACGCTATTCCACCCCTTCCTCTGCCTCCCTCAGCCGCATCCTCATGCCGTTCGTGTTACCCGACCTCGGCTCGTTTGCGACTGTCTCCGACCTAGCCACACACTTGCGCTCCCTTGTCGCTATCTACCGAGCAGCTTGCACTGAGGCTCAGCTTCTTGTTGCCCCTCCTCCTATCTGGCTCACCGTCCACTGGGTAGTCACTCGTCTCCCTGACCGCCTCTCCACTTCCCGTGACGCACTTCTCCAGCAGCACCCCAGCGAGCTTACGACTGATCTTCTCGAGACCACTCTTGGGAAGATCGAGAATAACCTCCTCTCTGTTGCCTCAGCCACTGACGCAGTTGCCCCTCGTCTGTTTGAGGGGTGTGCTGTCCCCTAGCTTCCTACCTTCTCTGCTACTCGTGCCTCTACTGCTGTGTCGGTCTCTGAGGACACTGCAACTGTTTCTGCCGCTGACAGGCAGAAACGGGGCAAGGGAGGCAAGAAAGGGGGGAAGGGGGGTGGCGGCAGTGGACGTGGTGGCGGCGGTGGCGGCGGCCCTGGGGGCGGCAGTGGTGGCAGTGGCGGTGGTGCCCCAGGCGGAGGGAGCTCTGGAGGAGGAGCTGACTCACCTGCTGGAGGAGGTTCGACCAGCGGTGGTGCGGGGCCCCAGCAGCAGCAGCCACACCAGAGACAGCAGCAGCAGCAAGGACAGCAATAGTGGCAGGCACCACAACAGTTTCAGTCGTGGGGACCCCCACTGCAGTGGGGTCCGCAGCAGCACTGGGGCCCTCCGCCACAGTGGGGACCTAGAGGACCCGGGAGCACTGGCTGCAGCAGCAACACGACCAACTGGTGTCAGAATGTTATATTGCTTACTTTGTGTAGGCTTTAGTGGGGTAGCCCATAAGGGGTACAACCCAATTAGGGTTAGTACTTGTACCCAACTCTTTCATAGTTCATTCATTCTTGTTCATTCTTCTGACATGGTTTCAGAGCAGGTCCTTCGTTAGGACAGATTTTTTTAGGGCCCTCCACAGAGCTGCCCCACTAGCTGCCCTGCCCTACCAGCGCGCCGCCCTGCTGGCTCACGTGCCGCCCTCTGCAGCCCTCGTGCTGCACCTGCTGCCCCGTGCGCCACCCCTTTGCGGCCCGCCCGTAGCCCCTAGGCCCCGCACGACACCCCTTGCTGCCCGCCCGTCGACCCTAGGCCCCGCGCGCCGCCCTTGCAGGCCCGCCCGTCGACCCTAGGCCCCACGCACCGCCCCTGCAGGCCCACCCGTAGCCCCTGCTGCCCCGCGCGCCGCCCCTTACGGCCCGCCCGTCGACCCTAGGCCCCGCGCACCGCCCCTGCAGGCCCGCACGTCGCCCCTGCTGCCCCGCGCGCCGCCCCTTGCGGCCCGCCCGTCGATCCTAGGCCCCGCGCGCCACCCCTTGCAGCCCACCCGTCGACCCTAGGCCCCGCGCGCCGCCCCTGCTGCCCAGCTCGCCACACCTGCAGCCCCGCGCGCCGCCCCTCGCGGCCCGCCCTTCGCCTCTGCAGCGCGCGAGCCGCCCCTGCAGCCCCGCGCGCCGCCTCTTGTGGCCCGCCCGCCGTCCCTGCTGCCCTGCTCGCCGCCCCTGCAGCCTTCCGCGCCGCCCCTTGCGGCCCGCCCCTTGCCCCTGCAGCCCGCGAGCCGCCCTTGCAGCCCTGCGCGCCGCCCCTTGCGGCCCTCTCGCCGCCCCTGCAGCCCCGCGCGCCGCCCCTTGCGGCCCGCCAGCCGCCCCTAGGCCCCCCAGCTGCCTCTAGGCCCGAGAGCCGCCCCTCTTGCAGCCTGCACGCTGCCACATGCAGCCCGCTTGCCGCCCCTCGCTGCTGCCTGCCCTGTTCCTTGCGCCGCCCGGCTCCTGCCCGCCCTGCGTACTGCGCTGCTATGGCTTCTCTCCGCGTACTCGCGTTCGATCATGAGGGCCGACCGATCCATTTCGACACGTGGCTCGATGACTTGCAGCGGTACCTACTGAGCGACTCTAGAGACTGCGTTTCGTTGTTTGACCACACGTCTAGAGCCTTTCCCGCCCCTCCCGCCACAACTGACAGTGCGACTCGCTCACAGTGGCTTACTCGTGATGCTGCTGCTCGCTTAGCCATTCGCAACCACCTGCCGTTAGCCGAATGCGCTCACTTCGGACAGCACAGGACTGCGCAGGCACTTTACGACGCTGTAGTCGCCCGTTACTCCTCGCCTGCCACCGCTGCTCTAGGCCATCTTCTACTGCCCTACCTGTTTCCCGAGCTGTCCGCCTTTGCCACAGTAGAGGACCTCGTTACCCACCTTCGCACTAGCAACGCTCGCTACCGCGCTGACCTCCCAGCAGAGTTCCTTGACAGGAACCCCCCACCGATGTACATCACTCTCTACTTTATAGTCACCCGCCTCCCTGACTCTCTTCGCGCTGCCAAGGACCACTTTCTCGCACTTGACCCCACAGCCCTCACTGTTGACCTACTCGAGCAGCACCTCCTTGCAGCTGAGACTAGTGTAGTCGCTGTAGGTGCCGCTCGTGGCACTCTTCACACGCCCTTCTTTGAGGGGTGTTCCCCCTCCCCCCTTGCCCCCTCCTACGCCTCTGCTACTGCTGTTGACGTCCTTGGTGCTGAGGATGTCGGGGCTGCTTGTGAAGTGGGAAGCGCCGCAGCAGCAAGGGCAAGGGTGGCAGGGGTGGTGGCGGTGGCAGCGGGGGTTGTGGTGGGGGCAGCAGTGGAGGTGGTGGAGGTAGTGGAGGAGGTGGCAGTGGTGGGAGTGGTGGCAGGAGTGGGTGCTTTGGTGACGGCGGTAGTGGCAGCGGTGGGGGTGGCGGTAGTGGCGGCAGTGGGAGTGGAGGCGGTCGGGCTGGAGCTACTCAGCGGGGAGATTCTGGCGGTGGCCAGAGGCAGCACCAGTAGCGTCGGAGCGAGACCTCCTCGCCCCAGCAGCTTTGTGAGTGCTTTTCTCAGCGTGGGGCGTCTGAGGGTAGTGGTAGCTGCCCGTATGTCTTCGCACGGGTGACCGTGCTGGTCAGACATGCGGGAAGCCTCACACTCAGTACCGCTGCTTCTCCCGCCTCGACGACGCTTGGCGCGCAGAGTTTGGTGACGAGGCCGAGCGCCCCCGCTGGGCAGAGCTGCTTAGGTCTGGAGTTGCTATCTTTGACCTAGACTATGATGCTATCCTTGCTGCTATGTATGCCTTGTCTGTTTGTGCTGAGGGTGACTGTTACCTGTGTGTGCCGCCTGACCCAGGGATAGAGGTTGCTGCTATAGGTGCTAGTGAGTCTGCTCCCCCTGGTACTGCGCCTGCTAAGGCCTTGCACACCTTCACACTTGACTCAGGTGCTTCATGCTGTTTCTTTCGTGACAGCACCACCCTCACTCCTCTCTTTGCACATGTACAGGTCAGACTGGCTGACCCCTCAGGGGGCCCAATCCTTGCCCGTTCCTCCACTGTTCTCCTGTGTCCGGCGGTTCTATCCAGCTCACTATCAGGTCTTCATCTCCCCTCGTTCTCTACGAACTTGGTGAGTACCGTTGCCCTCCATGATGCGATGGTCACTACCACCACCCCTAGGGGTCAGCGTGTGTCGATCCGCACGTGTACACGGACGGGCCGTCACTTGGCCACGTTCACTCGTCGGCCTGGGTCGAGTCTGTATACACTGGCTACTAAGCCTGCTCAGGTAGTTGCGTCTGCCAAGGTGTCTGCGTCAGGTCCGGTAGCACCCCCTTGCTCGTGTTGCCTTATGTCGCACCAGACCCTCCTGTGGCACCACCGCCTTGGTCACCCCTCGCTGCCACGCCTTCGTGGCATGCACACCTGCCTCCTTGTCTCTGGTCTTCCCAGGTCTCTGCCTCCCCTCCCGCCCTCGCCTGCCTCGCCCTACCTTCCTTGCGTCGAGGGGCGGCAGTGCGCCGCTCCTCATTCCTCCTCGTTTCCCCCGACGATTGCTCCCCTGCAGACTCTCCACATGGACGTGTGGGGCCCAGCCCGCGTCAGTGGATATGGCCGTGAGCACTACTTTCTGCTGGTTTTCGAAGATTACACGCGTTACACCACAGTCTTCCCCTTGTGAATCAAGGGTCAGGTCGTTGATGTCTTGATCCCTCTGATCCGCGCAGTCCATCTCC